AGGAATGAATAAAATACTGGCTCTGGCAGTGATTGCTAAGAATTAGCAAGGCTCTGCAACGTGGTTCAGGAGGAGAGAATCACATACCAGATATTCATCCCGAGGTTCGGTTTTCCGTGTTAAAAATACAGTTTCTAGCACATGTGATGCTTCAGTACAGACACGTCGAGATATATCGGCTACTGCTTGGCAGGCAGGAGTCCACAGCGTGCAGCCAAATTGAAATTCCTTCTTTTTTTCTTTCTTTTTCCTTTTTTGCAGGCGAGAGGTGCAGATATCCCCGACATTCCAGGCGAGTTGGCGCTCCGGACCTGTGGCAGCACAGCAAGTATGAAAGTGAAGAATGTGAAAAAGTAAGAGCAACGTTCTTTGATTTTCTTGTCTTTGCCGGGCGACTAGTTTTGACATCCTGGGGTTTAGCTGTCACGCTGTGACACTGCTGGGGCTTTCAGCAACAATTTCGATAACATCTTCATCAGAGCAACCAATATTCAGGTGAAACAAAGTAAATTAAAACTGGGGGTGTGAGGGATATTGTTGGCTCTCACCTATTTCTGGCCGTAGAGGCAAAGCTTGTTAGAGTTGTGAACCTCACTGTTACTGTATTTTTAAATTTTGATGTTTTCTTCCTGAAACTGATTAATAATAAAAAAAAATAAAATAACATTTTTATATATAGATATCGATATAGATATATAGATGTATAGATATATAGATGTATAGATGTATGGATATATAGAGATATAGATATATAGATATGTAGGTATGTAGATGTATAGGTATGTAGATATATAGATATGTAAACCCCTAAAGAAAAGCCCAGGTAAAGTATAAATAAATGAGGTGATTCTCCCTGTCTCCCTACTCTCTGAGAAGCAAAACCAGGACAAATGGGTGGCCTAGATGTATTTTTCATGTGATTTTTTTCTCTCTTCCTCCTTTTTTTTTTGGTTTTTTTTTGCATTCTGCCCTGTACCTCTTCATCTGAACGGGCTTTGCGCAATTTTTCTTTTTTTGGGGGTCTTTTTTTCTTCTCCGGTCTCCCAGCTTTTGTTTGGGTGTTTTTTTTCTCCTCCATGGGCTTGCACTACCTTTTGCTCTCTCATTCTCTCTCAGAGAATGCAAACCAGCTTGGAGCTAACGTTTCAGACCTCTAACCTCCAGAAGGGATCAAAGCAATTGCTGCTCCTTGACTTGTCTTTGCTAAGAGCCGCTGACCTGAGGGCCAGAACTCCCCGATATCGGTCGATCCGGGCGTTCGGATCACCTCCCCGATGCTCTGAAGGGAAATGGCTCTTTGTTCTGGTGCTGAGCAGCCAGATGCTGCATCTCACTTCCCACTTGTATTCCCGTGGGAAGAGAGAACTAGATAATGACAATCTCATTGGCTCGCCACCAGAAATATCTATAGGAGTCTATAATAGCTTCAGCAGAAGCAAGAGCATGTTGCAGAGCCAGAGGATCTCCCCGTCAGCCATCGCTGTAACTAGAGACGTTTGGGAATAATTATGCCTCACTTTTGAATTTTTGCAAAAGGCAAAAAGGATAAATAGCGTTTGTTCTGCACCCTCAGATACATCAACCCGGGACTGATGGGCTGTGATGCCTTTCACAGGTAACGTTCTCCTTTCCTATGTGTCTCGTGTCAAGGCTGTTCATTTGCACTGCCAAAAATGCGTTCAGAGAGGTAGAGCAGCTTGCCCCTGCACCGTTTCTTAAAGCTGTGGGCTTTGGTGTTGATGAAACGATAAAAGCCGCTTTGCAATTTAGTTTTTCCCTTCGCACTCAGTTCCGTTCTCCGCCGGTTTCGGCGCGTCACATCGACGCATCTCTGCGTTCCCTCGGCTTTAGGATGAGAAAGTCGGTGTTGTTTTAGACCGGTGGCTGCCTTTTGTAACAGCGCTGAGCATCCTTCCGGTGGTTTGCATTTCTCTGACGGCGGTACTTTTGATGTGCTTCAGGTTGTCCTTCACCAAGGGTCATTTCCCGAAGATGGCCGAGTGTGCGCATTTCCATTACGAGAACGTGGATTTTGGCAACATACAGGTGAGCTGGAGATCTCTTTTCTCTACCAAACATCATATTTCATTGCCAACGAACAAGGCAAGGCAGTGGAGCTTTCTTTAGTTTGGTGCAAAGTGTTTGGTGGTAAGAAGTTAAAGAGTTTAAATAAAAATTTAGAATTGCTGCCCTGGGCAAGAATCTCTCCTCAGCTGTGCGGCTTCCCCTGGGAGGTTGGAGGTGATTTTATTTCCGCTGCATTTGACTGATGTCACTGTTTGGATTCTGCATCAAGCCTTCATTATCGAGTCATCTGTAACAGCTGCCTGCGTATTTTTAGTTTGTACATGTGTATCTTCAAACAGCGGTGTGAACGTACTTATGTAAATATAAATAATTCAGATTTATCCGTTCCCTTCACGTTACCTTAGCTCTGCGTTGTGCATTGCAGCAGCTGTGTCATCAGAATACAAGAAATTGCTAGTCAGCCCGAGTTGCATTTCTAGAAGCGCGCTCCTTTGTGATCCATCTGTCAGAAATACAGAGGCAGAAGCATTTTTCATTGAGGGCTGAGAACCAGGAATCTCATAAGCAGGGCACATCTCGTTCTGCGCTGAGAGAAGCAGGAATGCCTCCAGCATCTGCCAGCCTCGCAGCCAAAAAAGAGGTTACAACCTTTTCATTTGTAAAACATTTCCTGTAATACCGAGTGAATTATTTACAGCTTTGTGCGTTTCCGCGCTTGACAGCTTTGCAAGCAGAATTACGGATCCGTTTTTTAATTTTCTCCCTGTCTCTGTAAAATTCCGACTGAGGAGGAGTTTGGGTCCTGTTCAGGGCTTCTGCCTGCCGTTATTCACACTTGGTGGCTCTGAGTTCTGCTGAGCACGTCCAAGTTAGACTCGAGAGCGGGCTCAGGAGGACGGCAGTGCAAAGAGCTCGCTCCTTCCCGACAAGAAGGGCTGCAAACCGGAGCAGTCCTCAGTCTTCCGGAGCAAACTCGTGTGTCTTTATTTTCCCTTTCTGTGTACAGGCATAGTGTGATCTGTGTCCCTGTTTTTCATCTCCTATTTTCTCTTTCCGCCATGGTTACCTTTGGAAAACCTGTTCATGCGCCTAAAGCAAAACATCTGCTTAAATAAGGTGCATCTATGATTCTAATCGGGCCCCAAGTACCAGCTTCGTGCGTCTTGTCCCTTCCTTTTTCCAGGTGAGATTTCTGACAGATCCCTGCGGTGTGATGCCTCTTTAACGTGGATAAAAATACCTTAAGAGCTTCGCCTTGCACCCAAAATACAAAAGAGTAGAGCATTATCCTTTCGGCAGACCAGTATTTAATGGTAAAATAAACGAAAGCTTCTTAATCCAAGAGCAGTATTAGTTTACGGATTTAAAAATAAGTGGAGGGCTCATGCATTTTAATGGGGTGGCTTTCAGGGGTGGCTCCTTTGTGAGAACAAGGTAGACTCAGAGAATAGCAGTAGGCTGCAGTGACTTGTAAATGACAGCTTGGCACCTAATAGCGAGTTACCGAGTAGCATCTGAGGGCTGGTGGGTGTAAAACTCCTTTCATAATCTATTCACTGCGAGAAATTTGCATAGCAGAAATGCAGTATTATCGTGCTGTGTCAGGGATTGTGTAATGCTGCCTATTAACAGCCTGGCCAAATTTCAGATGGTTTTGTAACGTTTATGTCACTTAGAATATGGTCTCATGGCGCAGTCGGTATTAATATCTTGGCATGTCATCTCCTGAGATCGTTTTAGATTAACTTTCTGCATTAAAAAGAAGAGTTTGTTCTTCTTCTTCTTCTCCTAGCTAACAGAACTAGGTGCATTTTGGGATGCTTTTTCTCTTCAGGAATGTTCTGCTCTACTGCTTTTTTTACATGTATTTTAACCTTCTCTGTGTCTGGCCAGCGAGACACATGTTGCATCAGCAGGAGATTGCAGAGGGAGTTGGTGTCAAAGCTGTCGTTAAGGGATGGACTTTACAGATTGCATTGGTGCCAGAAATTCACTGGCATTTTACTAAAATACCTTCAATTTATTACTGCGTTTTAATTTTTAATTGTACGACAAAAAGCCAGGTTCTGCATAATGCATTTATTTTAGGAGCAGTGTTCAGGAGTCTTGTAAGCAGGAGCAGAGCTGTGGTTAAGACATGGCGATCGAATTACTTCAGCAAAACCTCCGTGTCGCTAAGTTGTGCAAAAGGAGAATGATTTCCCCCTGACAGGGCACAAATGCGATTTTATTTTCTTGGTGCCAAACAGGAGAACGACAACTTTGTCCTTCACTTGAAAGAGTGAAGAAATTCTCTTGAGCCGAGTAGGTTTTAGGAATGGCAGAGGGAGAGCTGAGCTTCCCAGGTAATATTCTTCCCGGATAATAACTTCCCAGATAATACTCTAATATTATCTGTGCTTCCCAGATAATATTCTTTCCTCCATAAAAACCTCATGACTTAAGGAAAGGATGCGCTGGAACGCGCATTCCCATCCCAGCAGCCGTCCTGCTCCTGCCCCTTGGGCAGCGTGCTCTGACTTTGCTTTTACGGAGCCTCCTTCTAAAAATAACCCCGTGTTGGATGACAGCGTGGGAAGATCCTCTCCTTATCTGCCGGAGTTTCGGCCTCGCGAGCGGCAGGAGCCACGTTATCGGCGGGGAAGGAAGTATTCCAAGCAGAATCGCTTCCGCCTGCGGAGGCATCGGCTGCCAGGAATTCCTGCGAGGAATTGTTTGCTCGTTGAATGCCTTTGGCAGGCTCCAGCCTTCCAGCCCGAGAGGACGGAGCTGCCTTTCAGTGGTTTGTGCCTGTAATTGCGTTTTCCTGACGTGCCTTAAGAGCATCAAGTGTCGCAAAGGCGATTCAGCTTCTTCTCATGCCTCTTGTCGGCAAAGCCTGTCGAGAAGATGTTTCTTGGGGTCATCTTCTTTTGGTTTGCCTTTTTTCCCTTGCATTTAATAATAGTCCAGGGCAGATGTGCTTGTGAAGGTGCCTCTGTTAATTATACAGAAAATTTTTATTTGTGAGTAATTTTTTTTTTTGAGGGGGATCTTAAAGGAAACCAAAATAGGAAAGCTTGACCACATTGCCCTCCTCTGGAGCTAAATGTTTAAGATTTTTCTGCCACAGCTAAAAGCAGTTTTCTACATGGATCAGCTAGAAACGGGAATGGAGGAGCTGTCTGATCTGTGTGTGTGTGAAGCCTTGCTCGAATCTCCTTCCATCAGCGATTTTAAACTAAGCCTTCGGTGTAGGAGGGCTTCTTCGTCCCCCAGCTCTTCTGTGGGCATGATAATTTTTCAGTATCTTGGCAGTCGTGAGCAGCTACAGGCTGTAATGCCTTCCTTTATTCCCCTCGTTTGCAAAGCATTTAAAAAGAAAAAAATATTTATTTTACAAAGCGGAACATGAGACAGCAGTCCCCTAGCTTCAAGCCCTTTGAAAAGATGGAAATACATGGTGAGGATGGCAACAACGGGCCTGAATTTGGCAGTGTGTTGGTGTTAGGAAAGACAATTTTGGCATTACAAAAGACAATTTTGCTGGGTTTCACTTTGTCTTTACAACTATAGGAGTGGTTACCCCATATATACCCACATTTTATACAGAACGGTGCTCCCTTTTAGCCTTTCATCTCTGGATGCTGTTAATTAATTTCCTTCCCAAACAACTTTGCCATAACCTGATGCGTTATATTCCCTTTCTTTAGATCAAGGCCTCTCCATTCCATTCCATTCCATTCCATTCCATTCCATTCCATTCCATTCCATTCCATTCCATTCCATCCCATCCCATCCCATCCCATCCCATCCCATCCCATCCCATCCTCTCTCTTTTCCGTCTATTTTTTTTCTTTTTTTTTTTTGCCCTTGCCTTCGAAAGGGGTAAGGGGAGATGTTGCAAGGGCTGCTTTAAGGACGTGGATGTGTAAAAACAACTGCGCTCGCAGTGGCGGTGGAAACTGCTTCTATTAACTTCATAATTCCAGCCACAACTCCCTGAAAATTGGCACGGTGTCCCGCCAAGATCAACAGATTTTTTAAAAACTGGAGCCTCCAGGCCAAGCTCCTCGAGGCCAAAAAGCCTTCGGAAAATATTCGAGTAAGTTCACCTCAGTTTTTCTGGATTCTTCTGTTTCCTGGTCTCGCATCCAACGTGTCGCTGCTCCAGCAGAAGAATTCTGCCCTAGAACAAGATCACACCTGGGAAATTCCAGCTTGCTTGGTTTGCTTCCAGTGAAACGGGGAGAAATCCAACGTGGGTTTTATAGTGGAAGGGTGATGTCAAGCACGGAGAGCATCTCTCCGTGACACTTTACTAATTGTTTTACAGGTGTTGCAAGCTATGGGGAAAGCTAAGAGCCTTATTAGTGATCCAGCTTTAATGGGCAGGAACGTCTGCTGGTTATTCATTGAAATAAAATATTAATTAATTAAAGTGTACGAATCCCCTGCTTTGGCTTACGCTGATGTTCCCTCGTGGCTTTAGCCTCTCAGATGTTTTTTAAGCAGCTCTTATGCTTTGCTCTCACCTTTCTCCCTTTGACTGACAGTTACTGAAATGAATGATTTATAATGTTTAATATTTTTTTTAAATCAGTAAGAAGTAGCTTGTCCAACACTACCCAACTGACTGATCACTGAATTGCACTGCTGAGCCGAACTGGTTTCAGGGAAATCGCTCCCAGTTTGCAAACGTTGACCTCCTGCAGCAATCCAGCTTATTTTATTTCATTTTCCTTCCCCTACATTTAACGCTGAAAACAGAGCAAGCTTGTTTGTGGATTTTCAGCCTTTTTTTTGGTGCGTTGTGGCTATTAGATGGCGCGAGTAGATCTTAAACGCAGCTGTAATAAGCCCAGCTGTTAACTTTGGCGTTGACCTCCCGCTGTTTGCCCCCATCATAAATCATCTTTAGCAGCGTGTCACAGAAATGCAGAAAAATCGGTTTAATTAGCAACTGGAACAGAGTTGGGTTGGGTGTTTTTTTCTTCCCTGAGGTTTAACGGCCTGAAAAAGCCAGAAAGATGTATTAT